TCATCATCACCAAGTCAGTTTTAAGATCATGGACTAAATAAAATTACTACTACTACTTCCATCTAGTGTATCCATGCACTTGCTTTTGCTGTAGTGAATATAAAATGCGCCACTTATTCACGGGTGATTTACTGGGTACCATGTACTTTAATTTTTATCAGTCACTTCAAGAAGAAGTGAATAAAATCATTTGCTTGCCATTCACTCTAGTGAATAGAAAGTCAGTGAATAACAGAAGAAGAATAAAACGAAAAGACTATTCTGCGCCTTTTCGCCATCTACTAATGAGTGGTGTTTGAAAGAGGAAAATGAAGGATGAAAACTAACTTTCCGTTGGAACATAAAGGTAGCAAAAGAGATGAGATGAAACTATTCTTTGATTTTTTTGTTTTGTATAACATGTCAGTATTCATTATGGTCAAGATATAATACGAAGTCAACATCAAAGTTTTTTCCACTGCCCATTGTGCCTGCATCTTTTCATCATGCACAGAAAGCTGTCGAACTAAGCGCCTAAGAAAGTTGACTATTAGAGGTGACTTATTTGTGAAGTAGATGGTTTTGCGACCCATCTTTTCGCTTCATATTTTATTCGCTGTATCTCAATGAAACCATCATTTTATATGAAAGGTAGTGTGGTTCGATAGCGCAGAAAATGCTGCATCTTTTTGTATTTGTGTGCCATGGAATAGACGTCTATAAGCCTCCAGCTTTTGTCTATGCCCTTTCTCTTTGCCACTGAGAATAAATAAATAAATAAATAAAAGTATCAAATCTTTTTTTCAAATATAAGATATGGCATATATATCAGAATCGAATAGCAGCTCAGTATCCATACTATTCTCTAAACATGTTTCGTATTGTCATTGACTGAAGATCTGCTATTCTAATGTAAGGCATTGCGATGTCAAATCTGTTGACCAGATTGATAAAACACAGATCTTATTCGCATGTACGGCATTGTGATGTCAATTTTAGGCGAAGCACGTTTTTTCTATAGAATGCAGTTATTTTTCCTCATCACAAAAAAAGAAAAATTGAATTTCAAATGCGTATGTGAATAACTATAGACAATAACTACAAAACGATTCTGGTGACCAGAATGTACTTGCCCATACTACTATTTCCGCCACAATATTTGGTTTCAACGGTAAAAGATTTCAACACGGTAGAGGCTGATGTTGAATTGTGTTCTATGTGGTATAGTGTGTATTTGAAAAAAAGTTCCTAAATTGAAAAGTCCCTGAATAAAAGTCCCTATTTGGTCGCCAGTATTGACCATAACTGTTTAATTGTCCCTAAATGGGGACACGATGGAGGGATGAATCTGGGGACCAGAATTTAGGGCAAATGATAACCGATCCTTCGATTCTGTTTCTCGAAATCTCAAAGACATAAACTAATTGATAAAGTGAAAGCAAACCACCTTTAGTTTGTCATGTTCTCACTTTTGAAAGAAACGTTGCTTACGCAAAAGCTCTTTGGTTTTCTTCGACATAAACGGTAAATTTCGAAGTGCTTTAGCGACGTTTTTCTTTGACTCACAAAAGTTGCGAGCATGTGGAAAAACTAAAACTATGAGTTATTCTCCGAAAAAGCTTCGATGCTCCTACTTTTCGACCATCTTGAATTTTAAATACTGAAAAACGCTCTCGTATGCAGAAATGCTTTCTCCTTTTTGGCTTTTCTACAATCAGAACGATTTCCTGTTTCCTTTCTTTGTTTACAGTACTTCATTCTTTTTGCTTATTGTTTACCTTCATATAAACTTTTTTTATTCAACGACGACTGATATTATTACTTGGACGGATCGCATCCCGAAGAAAAGACTGGTAAGATGTGATCCGTCAAGTTTTGTGCTAAGTTAATATGAGATGAATATAAGGTTTGTAAGGTTATGTGCGGCAGCAGAGATTTCAAGATCGATCTGATGAATCTCTCTTCTACAGCTAGTCTCTTCATCCATTCAACATCACTCACTACATCTGACTTTAGCTTACGCGTTAGTCGAAAAGTCAGAAATCGTGCTATTTTTCTCATTGCTGTATTTTTTGCTTTCCGGAAGATGCTTTGTACTGGATTAGAGATAGAAAAACAGTACAATTTCGGCCTCTTCGACCAAGCTGAAATCAAATATGGTGACAGATGTCAAACAGATGAAAGAGACTGCCTATAGAAGAGAAAAATGTCTCAAGAAGTGAGCTACAAAATTATGAATCTAACGCGGTGCGTTCGATCAAATGAACTTGTTTAACGCGTTTCTTACTCGAACGCATTAGAACGTATACGATACAGGGCAGGTTCCAGCCCGTTCAGAAAGATTGATCGAGTTTGATAAAATTTTAACTGGAACAAGTTGATTTAATAAATACTGGTTCGTTGGAAAAAGCACTTGAGTCATTATACACAAAGAAAATGCATTTTACTCAATGACCATGCACATAGCATGCACTTGTTATGCACTGAAAATGCCCATGAAATGTACGTAAAATATTGCATGGCATGTGAATGGCAGCGTTGAATGCACTGTCCATCCACTCATTATGTACTGCGATATTTTGAAAGTCCAACGAAAATACAGTGGATTATGCACTACCGATGTATCTAACATGTGCCTAAACGCGGCATTTTAGTGCATAGTTCATTCATTTTCAGTGCATAACATAAAAATGACGCAAATACATCAACACATAGTGAATCGGAAGTGAAAGAACAAAAGTCATTCACTTGAAATGAATTTCTTTAACAAAATATGCACATCTTGTTTGCAGTGTATTAAAAACCTATTGCTTTTTGACAGTTCGATCTATGACAACACGAGGCGTTCCTGCAATGATCATGCACTACCGCCGTTATTATGAATGATTACTGTTTTATCATAACTACAACCTCCTGAATCACTGCAGAGTCAGCCGAAGTGGAGAATCAAAGACTGAACAATTAGAAGCGGATGAAGAATTTCCAATTGTGCCGAATGAACACAGTGCGAAATGATTAAAATCTAAGTTAGTTCTCTTCGCACATGCCAGTGCCGCACATTGATTCTAGTAATGTTGTTATACCACACTTGTGATGACGTATTTATAGCATGATTTTGAAGAGAATACGCTTGTACGCTTTTCCTGCATAGTTTTATAAGAGAAGGTTTACTAACTTTATTCGTTCAGATCATCAATATCAAAACAACTTACAAGGTTTCAATATACTTGAAACTGAATTCACGCGTTTTCTGAAATTGATTAGAATAACTACTCTAACCTGAAATGAACGAGAACTACACTTCGAACAAAAAAATTTACTACCGTTCACAGACACTGCCGTCTTTCTTATCTCTGCAGCTCTTCTCTTCCTAGTTTTCGACTGATACCGTCTTAGTTAGTAAACCTTCTCCTGAAGAGTTTAAGAAAATGAAACTATACAGAATCAATAAAGGTTTCGGAGAGCTGCTAAACCCTCTCCTAAACGTTTTTTTATGTAAAATTAAAATAAACCGCATCGTAGTATCTTGAATAAAAAAAACTGCACCTTAATATCTTGAATTTTCTAATAGTAAAGTTCAAGAGCTTATTTCTCAACCCCAGAGGCCCAGTCAACCGAACCTTCTCAGGGTTTCGATCAGTGTCATAGGCAATATCAAATAAAATAGAATCTGGAAAAGTTCCCTCGTTAAGCTGTTATAACTTTTAGAAAAGTGAAGCAAATAAACTATTGTTTACAAGTATGTTGTTTTTGCAACCAAACCTTAGCTATTTCATTTCGTTTTTCATCAACAGTAAAAGCCTTCCGATTTTCCATTGACTGAGTAGATGCTGAATGACTTTTCTAGTGCTTTGCGGCGTATTAAATATTTGTTTTCTCAATAAGATCAAACATACTGTAGTATCGTTACTAACACTTGCTGATTCACGGTCGCCTGAACTGACTATTGGTTTTGTGTTTTTTTGGAAGTTGAAAAAAACAACTGGTGACAATCATTACTTGATCGTTGATCCGACTTTTTCTGTGTACTTGAAAGCACATACGCAAATGCACTATGCGCAAACATACTCTTTTCCGCGAAAAAGAATGACGAGAAAGTATACACGTCAATCAACATAAAAAATGACACTAACGGTATGTTTGCTCACTCTCAGAGAACAAAAAGAAAGAACATAAAACGTAGTGTGTAAAGGCACTCGAGTCCACGCGCTTCTAATGCTGTCGACTGGGAATTGCTTTCTGCACTGTTTTTCAAAATAAACAAACGGAAAACGGACGCTTACCCAACCGTGGTGCATGCGCGCGCCTGAACAACCGGTAGAAATATGTGAGTTGTAGTAATTAACATTATATGGAGTGTAATTCTGTTTCGTTTGCTCAGACTAAAAGAGCCGCCTCATAAGTGTTTTGTGTCGCTGCAACAAATATTGTAAGTAGAACGTATAATGCAACCTGAGTTTATCAAATGGAAACTCGGACGATCACCCAAAAGCTTTGTCGCTTCTTTTGGTTGCAAAACGATGCGCATATTAGGAAGTAATCGACCCACATCACCAAGAGTACAGTGTCTCTCTTTTAATTTTCTAGTTTTGCATCATCATGAGCAATGTTTTATTTAGCTTCATAGGAAAAAAGTGAGCTGCTTCCTTCATGTAACGCTCGATAAATCACATGTTCAGAGAATCGCTGGATCGTCAGATTGCCACCCTGAATTATTTTTCTGTATGCCTTTTACTTCATCCACGCTATATTGACTTTTGTCTTTTCAACATAAAACTGATGTAGGTAATTAATTAGGAAAGTGACTTTGTTCTATAGCAGTAGATTTAAATAAAGTGAAGTGGAAGAATGGCGCACAGTCTACTTCGGCGTTTAAAATTGTTCAACGAAAAGAATGCACAATTTGTTGATTACTATAGTCAAAAATCCCAACGCGTAAGCAACCGAAATCTCGAAGATGTGATCGAAGCTGTAAAACACTTGGTCAAGTCTGGAAAAAGGACGACAAAAATTAATAATGAATGGAAAAGGGTTTTGGTACGTCGTCTACAAAGAACACTGACCAGAGCCGAGCGAATATCCGAATCTCTCATTGAGACAATTGAGTATGACGACGACAATGTAGAAGATCCAGAACAAGTGGAAGACGTAGAAGACACTCGTTTGCGATGCCTGCTGCTTGTAGATTTTTGGCAACAGTACACCGACGAATGTCACTACATTCTACATAATCGAGTGCCACTAGCCAGTTCTCATATACGTTCAACGTTTCTAGAAGTCAAAGACTTTGAAAAGAGGCTAGAGCGGCGAAAGAAAGAATACTTGGTGCACGTTGATGGACGACGAAAGAGTTTAAGTGACTTGTTTAAAGAGCATCGTGTATTCCTTAACGAATATCTTGACAAATGTATTTCTCTTCATTCTACTGTTCCTGTTACATTGGGTTTTGGAACGGAGAATGTCCGTCACCTTTTACGGGAGATAAGTGAGGAAAACGAATGTTCGCTTTCGGCATTGAATATGAATAGATTGAATTGCGATATCGAGGTGCCTCTTCGCTTTGCGTCTGCCACACTGGAAGACATTGATACCTTCCGTAATTCGACAAATGAGAGCACAGGAGCTTCCTTTTTTCTTCCTTTTATTGACGATTCTTCTCTTCAACGTACCTTTTTATCCAAAACTATCTTGTCTATCCTGCGAAGTTACCGCTGGTCGGTAATCTTAGGAGAACCTGGCGGAGGAAAGACAACATTATTACGTTGGCTCACGTTGGAATTTGCCGGTTTTCTTCGTCAGGGAGAGACAGAGAAATTTTCGATAGAAGGACGAAACGAATGGGAAACATTAGCAGTCCAAACACCGCTCATAAACTGTTCAGTTATATCATTTGCACGAATACCCATATTAATTAGAGTAGGTGAATTTGCCACTTGGTTCGATTTACATCCTGAGTGCTCATTACTTGACTATATCGGACAACACACTTGGTACGGTACTCGTTATTCAGAGAAAAACGACTCAGGTGTTCTTCATGAGTTTATTCGTCATGGTCACGCGCTCATTCTCTTCGACGGCTTAGACGAAGTTTCGAATTACGAGCAACGAAAGAAAGTCGTTGCTTCAATAGAGGCATTCTTAGAACAATATATTCAAACGTCATCATTTGTTTCCATTAAAGATGATAGAGATGTTGTAGAAAAATGGGGTGGATGCCTTCAAGACTATCCTGAGTTTTTAGTCGAGAGAAATCAAATTATCGTTACGTCGCGCATCATAGGATATAATCTCGTTCCATTTAAGAGCAATTTGCTTGCACTCTTTTATCTGAGAGCAATGAACAAGAGAGAAGTTGAATCATTCATCTGTAGTTGGCTTGTGAACGTCGATCACACTTTTGTTAGTCGTATCACTAATGCAAATTGTTTCCGTTTGAATCCAGAAGGACTAATCAGAATTCGAGAGAAAGTATGGCGAAAAGCCCTCAGTTTAACAGCACAACGGCATATATGGTTTCATCCAGTGCTGCTTTCATTAGCTCTGCCGTCTCTTATACTCACTGACAGAGATAAGATAAATTTCACTTCTCGTGTTGCTGTGTATGAATTAGCTAAAAAGTCTATGATAGACAAGTGGATTTCTTCGACAGAGACACAGTTCGATGCAGTAGCTATCGAATGGATTCTTCGAGATTTAGCTGTGCATCTTTACAACAATTGTCCATCCGGTTGGATCGATACATTCGATCTTATCCGATTGGCTTTCATATCTCTCAAAGCACTTGTCCAACAGAGAGGCAATGGATCCATATCGAATGATAAATTGAACAAACATGCAAAAGACTTTGTTGATCTGCTATCTTGTAACGTAGTGGGTTTCGCGACGGCACGAGGGCTAGACGCTTATGGGTTTGTCCATCGCACACTCGAAGAATATTTTGTTGCTCTGACTATTGTTAGTCCTCTAACTCAGGATAATGTTCTTTCGGCTAAGATGATGGTGGATCGCATCCTCAACTGCATGTGGAAGGCTGAATATCATGAACCTCTTGCACTTGCTATCGGCTGGTTAGATCTCAAATGGCAATCGGACGACATGAATGCGTTCTGTTTAGAATTGATGGAAAGACGTATTGGGAGCCTACCAATTGGTTGTCTTCTATTAACCGATGTTCTTAGACGTCTAGATTCTTCTCGTTCTTCTCGTATGTTAACGCTTCTTTTCACCTACATTCTTTTTTCTTCGGCTGCAGATGATGTTTCGAAAGAATACCTTCGACAAGGCTTAGATAATGTAACACAGGAAGTTGCTGACGAATTATTTGAAAACCTCTTACACGATCCAAGTCGTATCGAACGCACATGTGAATTTCTCATCTACTGTATGGAGCCTATTGCTGGTGAAGATCGATGGGTCCTACCGTCATGGATGCGCAACTCAAGATTGGCTTTTCTTGCAACATGGGATGACAAAGACGTGAATGTTGAAACAGTCGTCGATCTAATCTTTCGTCGTAGCGCACCTCTTTCACGGGACATCGACTACAACATTCTGCAATCGTTTTTAATAGATGAAAAGATTTCTGGAAATCAAATTCATCCTGCAGCTCTGTCAGTTATTATAGCTCTGTGTGGTGGTATCGTGAAAGTAGAGAATTCGATCATATTTGATCCGTTCCAAATGCATCGCGTAACTCCTTTAGCGCCTTTGTTAATCGAATATTTCAAGAAGGATATGCATGCTGCTGCTCAAGACATACAGTGGTTACTTAATGAATGCGAGATAATCACTTTTGAGGCATCAGCAGATGATGTAAGCAGACGAATGCAGGATGCACTTATCGCATTGATCATTCTTCAGGGTTTCAATCAACTAAGTATCTTTCAGCATTTCTATTATCATAAGGCATTGCCCCTCGCTCTCTATCGACTCCAACTTGTTCTATATCATTTGCGCCAGATGTATGTCGTCAAAAAAACTCGCTTCGAAAGTCATTCTTCATCAATCGCAGATATGAGTCCGTTTCTGAACAGACTTCGCACGGAGAGTAATGTGAACAGGAAAACTAGAGATTCTTTGACGCTCGCAATTATTATGGCATTTAAGCATCTGATATTTCCAAATGTTGAATATTGGAGAGATATTCAGCGAGTTATACTTTACACCACTAAGGATAAACGAAATGAAGAGTTCGCAACTATCTCGCTAAAGTATTTGAGACTCGTACTGACATGCTCTCTGACAAATGAGCTTAGGGCTAGAAATCAGTGGAAATGTGGAGAACATCCGTATCAGCTTCTGCGCGAGCATCCTCTTTTCTTAGTGGCATTTGCAACTCCACCGCTTCAACCTCTGTTTGAACGGCTTATTCTGACAGGTCGAGTAGATCTAATGAGTCCCGAGTTGAATTCCATCTCTTATGTAGTTCTCATAGCCGAAGTACTTCTATTTGTGGACGAACAGAATATGTGCACTTTCGAACTCCATTCATTTCTCAGTGTGATACAGGATATCGTTCAAAAGCATCAATTGGAATGGTACACGGCAGCAATCATACAAACGGTAAAAACGACCAAGTTTGAGTATAGGCCCGAAGATGATGAGTTATCAACTCCGGTCAATGTCGATTTTGCTGTTGTGAGGACTGCTATAGAGAAGGCGCAAGAACGTATATCGAAGGCACTTTCTCCTTCGGAGGATATGCGAGCAGCTGATGCTGATCTGCAACTATTCTCGGCAGCACTCTCCATTATTCGTATGTGTCAGTTCACTCATGAACAGAAAGAACTATTCGAGGAAGCAGCGCGAGCAACACGATCTATTCAAGATGGCGTCCTGCGTATCCTTTGCGTTCGACATATGTGTCAAATAGTTGGTCGATGGCCGGACACGGCTCTTTACGATATATTACGACAAATACTCATCGAAGATAATCTGAGACAACTGTCGCATAATTTGCCATTGATAATTAAGGCACTTGTACTCGTTTCGTGTATAGAAGAGGGAGAAAAGATGCACCCATTGCTAAACCAACTGTTTGACAATGTGGTGAGATGTTTGAATCAATCACCCAAAGATGAAGAGGACGCTGGTGATCAGGAAAGCGTGTTCCAAGCACTTCGTGCCTCAAGTTCAAGCATAGCTGGACTTGAAATGCAGATTCCTTCTTCGTTTAAGACTCGGTCACACTTATCTGATATTCTCGAACTTAATTCGCCTGTATTACACTCATTGCTGTTTCGTACCGAACCAACCTTTCGTGGTTTCCCCGACAACGTTCTCCTATGCCAAATCTATATCGCTGAACTAACAGTCGATACACAGACACTCATGGCTCTTGCGCCGTTTCGAGGTAATTATACTCCGACACTAAGATCGCTAAATTTAACAGGAAAACTGTTCGAACTTTGGAACTGGACGTGGCCTGGAAAGAAATTCTCTCATCATCGGCTTGTGTCGATCAATACGTATTTACATTCTGCACTAAATCAAAGGATCGAACCAGCCGTTTGGTTTGATGACCGTAGTGTATGTGACGGCATCGAAGTCCGAGATCGATCTATGATTGAACATTGGTTGTTATACTACAATGACAAGAACAACGAAGGTCTCTGGCAGTTTGCTTTACTTGCTGTTGCTTTGCTCTTGAAAAGTGGACATGAAATGTTTTCATCGTCTGTTATGGAGAGAATGTTTAGAATACTGGAAAAAGCGTTCTTTCACGATGTCGACAGCATTCGTTATCAAGCACGAACAGCCTTCCACTGCTGGTACTACGACAAGGTCTATGTTACATGTAGAGCGTGGAGTCCATGGCTGTGGCGAGTGCTGCGACGTATTTGGTCACATTCTTCGTCGTTTCCAAAATTACATGTCGAATCTGTCAATGATATCAGTCTGGTGCTAGAATTAGAAAGCGACCGATTAAGAGTACCAGCAAAAGGCGATGCCGTCAAAGACGAACGATTTTCTTTCTTTGTTTTAATACGCAGTTGTTCACAAAATGTGCACAACTATCTTGTGGCACATATTCGCTCAGTCTTAAGCTGTGATTCAACGATAAACGATGAGTATCTCGCAACTGTGATAGTTCATCTGGTTGAAGTTGAAATATCGATTGATCCCGAACTACAGAATGAACACTTTTTTCTACTATTAAAAACGATTTTTTATGAACAGCATTCATTGCCTTTCACACAACGAGCAGCGTTGTTTGCACTGACATCTCAAGAACAAGGCCGAAACCTTTTAGGAAATACAATACGATTATTCCACCAGGACATAGCTCATAAATCCAACCCGGTCACGACACAAGAACGAGCAAAGCTCACAGATAACGTTCTCAGTCTATGTTTATGGGCTTTGGCGGATGCTCCTGTTGAACATCGTTCTGTAGACAAATCTTTTTTCAGGTCGATTGAAGAACTATCCAACTCAGATGCGATTTCTCGCCATGCTGCTGCCTGTTACGGCTGGCTGTTATGGACGGATAAGGAGTATCATGAAAGCATTGACGATATGCAACTTCGATTAGATGTTACTGCTGACTTTCTTTATACTGTACTGACAGCAAGAAGACAGTGTACGGTCGAAAGAGAAGGACATAGTGACTGGTGTACTTATACAGTTGAGTTGCTCAGAAGTCACTGGAACGAACTAGCTGATCGCTTTTTGGATGACTGCTACGCTTCATTATGTGCTTCTTCACGAACACTGAACCGGTTCAACCGAGGCGCTGATTTTTTATTTGTTGCATGCGAACTGGCTGAACAAGAGCCTGAATTATTTTATCAAGGAGTGCGAAAGTGCGTCTACGCTGAGGAAGCATTCAAAAAGGCGCTTTATCTAGCATGGAAAAAAGGAAATGTCGAGCAGCGACGTATGTGTATCGAGCTGTACTCAGTGTTCGAAGTGATAACAGTGGATTTGATTGATATGCTCTTTACCGATCTTCCTGATCTCTATCAAAACAATGAAACGCTCTTTACTCCATTGAACGAAATTGAAAATCGCGAAGCGATCGAAAGTCTCTTTCCTTACCTACACTCTGTCTCGATGGCAAAAAGATACCTTGCTGCCAATTCCTTGGTTCATCTCGCTATTCTGGAGCACATCTCCTGTGTAGAAGTCTCACAACTACTACAAGACGTTCTTAACGATCCTATGTCTAATCAACTACTTTACGATCCAAAACAAGAAAGAAGCAAACCTTTGAGCGAGCAGATTCGACGTCTTCTATTGATGCTAACTTGTTTGCATCAAGTCTCCAGCAGAGAATTGTTACATGTTCTTACGCCCGAGAAAGTAATAGCTGACTTTTATGAATGTCTTGAGGCACTTCGTTATCCATTTCATGAACTGACATAAAGACCTGAAACGTTATGAATGATAAGTGGTTTTTCTATTTTCTTTTTATTTTATTATTATTTTTTATTATTATTTTCTTGTTTTTATTAACCATTGTCAATCTGCATGATTCGATACCTAAGCAGATATGCTCTTAAGGATAGATTAGGTAAAAGTGGATAGAAGAGCAGTTTACCCTCACTCGCCGACGATGTATGAGTTAAGAAGGAAGATTAATTTTATAACCAACAAAAAATTAGATGCAACGATAAAGGTAGAAGCAGATGTTAGACATAGGAAAAACGTATGTTCTTCAAATGTACTCATGTTTTGCAGCTAATTTGTTTCGAAACTGAAAATTATTACAAGAAGAGCTTTGGAATAGACAGATTCATCTTCAGTGAAAAGCTTGTGCATATGTGAGGAATTTTCGTCTACAGTTAGATATATACATATATGAAACATACCGGGTAGGTCATGACGGGCTTTAATTCACAGACATATGAAAGAGAGAGTAATTAAATTATTAAATTAAAAATAAACTGAATGTCCACGATCAGGATCATCGTCCATTAGAGGGACAGCATACCCTGAATAATCAGCAGGAACAATACAATCATGCAGTATTGTAATAAATGTATTCAAATATGCTAATGCAAAAATTCTCTTTAGATTATCAATCGGTTGATGGTTAGTGGAGCAACGTATTTCTTCCAAATTCGAGTGATGGTGGGTAAATATTTCTTTGAAACTATTACCAACTCGAATAATAATTACGATAACTAAGCACGTTGGAATACCACTTGAGCATAGTGAGACCACACGCGGTAAATAAATATGACTTGTATTAAAAAATCGATGTTGATTTTTTAATACAAGTCGTATTTATTTACCGTGTAAAGGCATGCTTACAATATATATTTATTTTTAACACCACCTTGTGCACAGTGAAGTAACTGTTTCACTCGAGATGCTGATGTCTATTGAATAAAGACGAAACTAGTCGCAAGTGAAACAGTTACTTCACTATGTACAAGGTGATGTTAATCTTATTATCAATTTTGAAATTCTTCGCCATAAAACATGATTCAAATATATTTACCTCTCATGAGTTATTTCTCGGATATATCGATTTTGATTATCTGCGATTGTTCAGCTATTACTACAATTAAATTGTTTACAACTCTCTCTGAAGTCATCTGATAGTCAAAAATAACTTGTAATCATACAAAACTTGATGTGTTATACGAAAGCGGAGAGTCTAAATTGATTACATACCCCTAGTGGAGCCAGTTATCAAAGACGTGCAAAAACGCGATGGACTACAGGAAACAGCTTCAGAACACTCTAGAAGTATTTCTGTCTTAATGAAAAACTATATAGTTTTCTAAAGAATACCATATGATAGTCCGTGAAATTTTCGATACTCCGACTTTTCCGCGAATGAGTTTTTTTTCGAACTCACTCTCACACTGCACCCTGACACCAAAAGTCAATTCGGGGAAGAGTCGGTTCGCGGAAAAAGTTAGCGGAATAGTCGTGTCACGGAAATTTTCTACTATTTGAGCAGTCAGAATATCTAGACAGGTAAGGCAATTCATCAAAGATATGCAAAAGAAACGCTTGGGTGTCATACATACAGTACAGTGTGTCATAATCATAAGAACCCCAGTCTAAATACTGTTTTGAATAGTCCAAAGATTTTTATATCAGAACAGGTGTATATCGCCATTTTATGAGAAAAAAATGAGAGAGAAAAGATTTCTAAAATAGTATTATTGAGCTGTTTTCCGTAGTTCAACGCGTTTTTTCCAAGTCTTTGATAATTGGTCCGACCAGTCAAGATATTCGACTAGGTCAATTTGTAGAGAATTTCACGGGCTATCCAGTGGTACATTTTTCGATTATTTTGTCTGAAAACCGCAGTTTAGTGCGGTTTTTCTGCTAGAATTGGAACCGTTTTTTCGCCGGTTTTTTTAAAGTTTTATCGTGTACGAGTACTATTATCAGTAATATGTTTGTTCCGTCGTATACTTGATGTTATTTTGCTCTATTTGATGAATATGCCTCGCTTCTTTTAGTTAGAGTACGAAAGTAAATAGTGATAGTGGTATACTTTCCTTTTACATTCCTAAGATTACAACGTTGAGCTGAAGTGAAAGAAATAGGAACGTAACTTATATTTAAGATGATGAACTGATACTCACGTCTTGCCCTCCTTTTACCTTAAAAAAAGACTAAGCCATGTGTTAGGACATATATCGATACTCTTGTTGTGCAGTAGTATTTTTGATGAAGTTGATATTCGCTAAATACAGGATAATAAGCATTATTCTCTAGATTATTTTCAACCAGAGTTGGGAAAAGTGGTCTGCTATCTATTAACGATAGCACATGAACATAAATTGTTGAATACGAAGTTTCCAGTACATAAATGAACATCGTCAAAGAACTGCATCGTAATATCTTGAATTTTCTAATAGTAAAGTTCAAGAGCTTATTTCTCAACCCCAGAGGCCCAGTCAACCGAACCTTCTCAGGGTTTCGATCAGTGTCATAGGCAATATCAAATAAAATAGAATCTGGAAAAGTTCCCTCGTTAAGCTGTTATAACTTTTAGAAAAGTGAAGCAAATAAACTATTGTTTACAAGTATGTTGTTTTTGCAACCAAACCTTAGCTATTTCATTTCGTTTTTCATCAACAGTAAAAGCCTTCCGATTTTCCATTGACTGAGTAGATGCTGAATGACTTTTCTAGTGCTTTGCGGCGTATTAAATATTTGTTTTCTCAATAAGATCAAACATACTGTAGTATCGTTACTAACACTTGCTGATTCACGGTCGCCTGAACTGACTATTGGTTTTGTGTTTTTTTGGAAGTTGAAAAAAACAACTGGTGACAATCATTACTTGATCGTTGATCCGACTTTTTCTGTGTACTTGAAAGCACATACGCAAATGCACTATGCGCAAACATACTCTTTTCCGCGAAAAAGAATGACGAGAAAGTATACACGTCAATCAACATAAAAAATGACACTAACGGTATGTTTGCTCACTCTCAGAGAACAAAAAGAAAGAACATAAAACGTAGTGTGTAAAGGCACTCGAGTCCACGCGCTTCTAATGCTGTCGACTGGGAATTGCTTTCTGCACTGTTTTTCAAAATAAACAAACGGAAAACGGACGCTTACCCAACCGTGGTGCATGCGCGCGCCTGAACAACCGGTAGAAATATGTGAGTTGTAGTAATTAACATTATATGGAGTGTAATTCTGTTTCGTTTGCTCAGACTAAAAGAGCCGCCTCATAAGTGTTTTGTGTCGCTGCAACAAATATTGTAAGTAGAACGTATAATGCAACCTGAGTTTATCAAATGGAAACTCGGACGATCACCCAAAAGCTTTGTCGCTTCTTTTGGTTGCAAAACGATGCGCATATTAGGAAGTAATCGACCCACATCACCAAGAGTACAGTGTCTCTCTTTTAATTTTCTAGTTTTGCATCATCATGAGCAATGTTTTATTTAGCTTCATAGGAAAAAAGTGAGCTGCTTCCTTCATGTAACGCTCGATAAATCACATGTTCAGAGAATCGCTGGATCGTCAGATTGCCACCCTGAATTATTTTTCTGTATGCCTTTTACTTCATCCACGCTATATTGACTTTTGTCTTTTCAACATAAAACTGATGTAGGTAATTAATTAGGAAAGTGACTTTGTTCTATAGCAGTAGATTTAAATAAAGTGAAGTGGAAGAATGGCGCACAGTCTACTTCGGCGTTTAAAATTGTTCAACGAAAAGAATGCACAATTTGTTGATTACTATAGTCAAAAATCCCAACGCGTAAGCAACCGAAATCTCGAAGATGTGATCGAAGCTGTAAAACACTTGGTCAAGTCTGGAAAAAGGACGACAAAAATTAATAATGAATGGAAAAGGGTTTTGGTACGTCGTCTACAAAGAACACTGACCAGAGCCGAGCGAATATCCGAATCTCTCATTGAGACAATTGAGTATGACGACGACGATGTGGGGACGAAGTTCATGATCCTCTGATTTACTCGTTTTAAGATTCGAGGACTAGTTTTGCGTAGTAAAGGCAGGTGAACCCCTTGTAAAATTGCTCCAATTAAGCTGAAATGTTTAGCATCCTGAGTTTAGATCGCATCCGAGGTTCAATATCTTTTAACAGCTTTTCATGCGTTTTTCATTTGAAGTTTTGATATGAGCATGCTTTTAAAATCAAAACCAGTCTTTTTTACGACGAATGTTTAGTATTTTTTTATGGGTCTCAGGAAGGAAAGGATATTTTCCAAAAATGGAAAAGATGAATCTCTCGGCGTCAGAAAGAGGGATGTACTTCTAATCGTACAGTGTGCATAGCTCTGCCGATTTATTTTGACTTCGACTTTTTTCGTTTTTTTTTATTTGTATGAGATATTTTGCTGTTCTAGACACCTACAAATCAGGAACACGAACAAGAGCTTTGTTCGTTTTGTAAAGTCAAAATTTTTCTTTTTTTATCTGCACATGCTCAGAACAGAGGTGTGCGGTCTACGGGTTTCGACCTGCAGCGTACGGGTAATGGTGTCATACGAGCGATCCGGGACGGATAAAGCAGTGAAATGGAGTATACGGGGGCTCGAGCGGGCGGGGTATAAAATTTTCTTTGAGACCGTTTCGGACCGTGAAAAACTATTAAGAGATTTGATTCTCTTATGCAATAGGAAGCAATGCGTATTGATGGCTAGTCCCTTATTTTTGACCTATAGAAAGCGATTTGACTTGTGATTTATTTGTTCCATATCTTTTTTCATACTTAACGCTGATCAATACGTGAGAAAGTGATTACAGTTCATTTGATTCTTAGAATCGATATTTGACATAGTCCTCATAGTTGTCAATATCCAACATCCAAAGTTACGAATTATTATCAGATGAACCCTCAGATGTAACGACCTCACTAAAAACTGCTCATTGGTACTCAATTGCTTGCAGCTACTTCTTTAAGCCTCAA